TGTACTGTCAGCCCCACCGTGCACTTAACCCACTTTTTACAGTGTACAAAGAGCCCGACCATGCTGGGTTGTCGCTGCCTCTCCGTCCGAGAGGTCAGGTCCCACCTGGTCCCAATTTTCCTTTTAGTGTGCGTCTATATTTTTTCTTAATCTCCCATCACTTCCTCTGGGGACCCTGATCCCTGCACAGTTCGCAGCAGGTGACTGACTATATGTTGGTCATAAGGATGCTCATATTTGGTGAGTATATGGAAAGAGGAGACTAGTATCTGGAAGTTGTGCAACCACAAGTTTAAATAATCACATTTCTTGCTTCCTTGTATGCCTGATACAACCACTGTTCACATCTATGTGCTAGGATTGGTGTAAACAACTGAAACTATTGGCTAAAAGTCATCTGTTAAAGATCCATAGAAAACAACAATATGAACACCATGAATATTTATGAAACTGGTGTTTGCTCATAAAAACACACTGGAATATACTTGACTCAACATTTATTTAAGTGCAAGGACCTGAGATTATGCAGAATGACGTGATGCACCAACTATTTGAGAGACTAAGGACCACAAATTTGAGGCCACCTCAGGCAACTTAATGAAATTCTGTCTCAAATTAAAATTCAAAAATGTCTTTGGATGTAGCTCAGCTCTCCAGTTCTCTATGGGTTCAACTCCCATTACAATGTGCAAAACAAAACAAAATCCTGAGATTTTAGTCAATGTTACTTTTATAAGAGATCAGTTTTTGACATATATCTGTGCATTCACAGAAACATATAAGCCACACATATATACACAAATACGCGTACATAAATACATTAAAACTATTTAATTTTCCTGGGTGTTTCTTTATTAATAATTAAAATTCCCCAAATCAAAAAAGCTTAAATCTAAATTCTTTCTTGACATAGATCAAGCAAGAATACTAATCCAAGGATGAACAAATTTAGAGTTTAAAATAAATTTATAGAGTAAGACCTCATTAAAAAAAAATCACTGATTTTTTTCGTATCTTCCTTAAAAGGCATTTGCACCATGCTAATCCCCTCCGCTTTGGTTCTGCCTGCTCAGTATGGAGCATCCTTCTCTGGACAGAATGCCCTGCTACTCAACATGTGGACTCCAGGCCTTCAGCTTCTACAGCACCTGAGACTTCACCAGAAGGACACCACAACCCCTGAACCACAGTACGCCCCTTAAAAACTTCTGAGTCCCTCTGCCTGTGTGCTCCAGGCAGAAGCAAAGCTGATCTCCTCACTGAGCTCCAGAAACAAAGAAACCAGGGTTCTCCAGAATCCCCACAGCTGACAGCACGCAGTGCCATTTCAGGCACCACCTGCTGCCTGTATTGTATGTAAACACAAACGAGAGCCACCAACTCCAGGCCACTCCAGCCACAACTGTACCAAGTAAGAATTTTCAGTCCTCTGAGCTCCAGTTCACAGAACCTGGAAAGCACTGAGGAAGAGAAAAGACCTGCCTTGATGCCCTTAGAAGATTTCTGAGACACAGAGCAACATGCAGGAGCAGCCTCTGTCCCCAACCCACCCCGTGCAACAGCAAGATTAGCCAGTGGTCTCCTGGCCCACGGTAACCATGTCTGTGATCCGCTTATTTTCTTTAAAGTTCTTCATTTTCAGAACCTTTTACACATACAATTTCAGAAGAAAAAAAATATTCACTGAATTTAATCACTTTAAAAAGAATTAAACAGAGAATGCACAAGTGAATTCAGGAAGAAAATTACATTTCTTAACTTTGTTTTATAGAGGAAAAATTATCTAATAACTTATTTTGATCTCTAAAGTCACATAATCATTAATGTTGCTAAGACATTCCTGCAAAATCTGATATGGACAGGAGTTGGATAATATTTGGTTCATAAACTGCTCTATTGTTTTCTATTTTATTTAGATCGAGTATCATTATTTTCTATTTAGAATACTGGCACCATCCCCCACACCAACCATTAACTGATCAGACTGAAAAAGTGATTTAATGTCTCAAAGCCTGCATCACAGTGATGCTTTAGAAATTTAATGAGATAATATATGTGCCTTAGTCCATAGAAAACACTCGATAAAGCTATTGTTACTTTGTTGTGCTAAACACATTTTAAAAAATACTTTAGGTGAACTCTTGGAAGGCAGTAAATATGTCTGGCTCATATATGTATATAATCACTAGGGCCCAGCCTATTGGTTTTTATATTGTAGGTATCTAATCAATCCAAGTTAAATTCGATTACATTAAACCCACTCTGCTGAATCTGATTTTTCATACAAATAGGAAGAAATAACTTGTTTTATAAGGACAGTGAATTCCTTCACATGGAAAAGTAGGATAGAAAACTGCATTCTTCTCCTAGCAGGAGTCACCCTCAACTGCATGGTACAGCCTCTCTGGTGGCTTCTACACTGTCCTCACAGTTCTGGGTCCCCTTCACCATGGCGAGCCTGACCAGATGCTCCCTGAGACTGACTCTGAACTAGCTGTCAAAATCCAACACACGTCCCTGAAGCTTAGAGATGATTTTCCTCATGCCTGTAATTCCAGCAAGAGGGAGGGTGGAGCAGGAGGATCACCTTGACTTTGAAGCCAAGCCTACATTATGAGTTCAAGGCCAGCCTGAGTTACATAGAGAGAATCTATATCCAAAAAACCAAAGTAAATAAGTAAATCAACCTTGTAAAATATTCTAATTTCTGAAGGAGGGAGGGAGAGTCTAGAAGTGCAGGCTGCTAATGGGTGAGAGGCTGGAGGACCAGCCAGGTCCTCACAGAGCAGGGTAAAGGTTATGGGGCAACTGGTGACCCCACCAGATCTCCAGCATGGCCTTGCGCAGTGTGATCTGGGAGGGTTGAGAGGATGCTGCCTGCTCTACTAATGCACCTGTTCTGGCTGCCTGAAAGCAACTATTTTCAAACATGGTATTTTTACAAAAACATCCTTTTTTATTTTTCCTTCCAAATAAACTGAGTACTCGAAATTAAACTAAAATGGAGACTGATTCCTGTATTTCCGTATCTTTTGGTAACCGGAAACAGTTAGAAATGAAGACTGTGTTACCTGTCTGGCAGCGACATGTGCCTGCCAAAGAAAGGACAGCCCAGCATCCTGTGTCCTCTAAATCTCTCTCCAGGAGGCTGCCCTGCTGGCAGCACCATGGAGAGCACAGAACAGCTACTGCAAGGCACCTCGAAGACCAGGAGGTAGGGGCCAGGGATTTAGCTCAGCGGCATAAGCACCTGCCTTGCAAGCAGGCAGTTGTGAGTTTGATTCCCCCATACCGATTTAAAAAAAAAAAAAGACCAAGAGGTAGGACAAGAAGTTGGTGCGGGGGCTCGGGATTTAGCTCAGTGGCGTAAGTGCCTGCATGGCAAGCACAAGGTCTTGAGTTGGATCCTTGGTATCAAAAAAAGTCAGTGTGTCTCTGGGGATTCAGAGATAAAATACGACATCACAGCCTAGAAATGTAAAATACCTTTCAAAAGACCAAACTGCTCCCAGGCCTGCAAGAACAGACAGTAAACTGATTAAATATATTAACATATCTAAAGAAAAAAAATGTTTCAGTCTTCTAGGGCAGCTGGTCAGCTAAGAAAGCCTAGGAAAAGGAGAATTTCAGAGGCAAATATAAAAGGTGTCCATCTAAGAGGTCCAGAGGACACCAGCCCACTTGTGTAGGGGAAAATCAAGGTTCACTTTTGTCAATACAGTGTCGGGATGACGGTGCTTGGGCAGACTTGTCTAACTTTCCAAGGGCTGTGCTACTGAATAAAATGACAGAGGTGTTAGCAGACAGAAAGCTGAGGCCATGAGACACTGAAATCCTCTCTTGAAGCAGCCTACTGGGAGTCCACTGTCTCTGCTCTAGCTTGCCAGTAAAATCTGGGTCCCCATGTGCTGGCATCCTATGAGCCAGGAGACAAAGGACCAAGCATCTCTCCAAGCTCTGTGCAGGTAATGAGATAGTAGCTTGGCTCTATATACAAGTCCTGCACTGGGGGGTTTTAACCAACCATCCTAGGAGACAAAGGTCCTCTCTCAGAGCCTTGACAATAGTGCCTGCAAAACTGGATCCTGGTCAGCACACCCACAGGCTGCGAGCTGGACATCCAGTCCAGCCTCCCCACTCTGCCTGTGTGTTCATCTGAGTTCCCCCTCGCCTGGGCCACGGGGACTGGTTCATGATTATTCTCTAAGATGTTTGATTATAAACAGGTAATGATTCTGATTCACCATCAATATTAATCAAAGGCATGCAAATTAAGAAAACATTACCAAAGGGAAAGCTGGCACAGGGTAAAAGCTAAAAGGCACTCTCGCTTGCTGCTGGTGCATCTATAAACTGGAAACACTCCAAACGTCTTAGAAATATATACATCTCTGGCCCAGCAATTGTACGTCTAACAATTTGGCTTTACTATACTAAAAATGTGAATAATTACTTAATCACAATGGTAATTCATAATAGATGCAACTTGAAAATCAAGTAACATTGTCAATTGTTGAGACTGGCTAAAAATACCTATTGTGCAATAATACAACTGTACTGATATGTTCAATGTTTTACAAAAGTGTATTAACTAACCAAGAAATTTGTTCACAATGTATTCAATTTCTTCCTTTTGCTTATTACATATTCTATTTTTTCCATGAACATTTAGTATCACGGATAGCCTTGGCTCTGAGCCAAAGTTGAGGGGCTGCCACCATCTATATTAAAAACAATAGCATCTAAAGGTTGGAAAGAAACAGACACGTCCTGATGACACAACTCTCACTCAGAGACAGCAGAGGTGGACAAAGTCAAAGCTCCCCTCAAGGCATGAAAGTGGCAGCCTAGAGAGAGAGAGAGAGAGAGAGAGAGAGAGAGAGAGAGAGAGTGTCCCAGCACACACCACCTCTCCAAGTCTCTGTCTTCATCCCATTCAGCAAAGCAAACCAGCACCAGGACAAACAAGTGCACTTCGAAGGGAAGAAAGTCTTACTTACGGACACACATGTCTCTGCTTTCATAAAATCCAGGGCAACACTGAGATTTGCGCCTATACATAGTTTTTTCTCCATGTCGATAGGCTGTCCGATAACTGATTCTATATAAGAGAAAAAAATCACATGGTTAGTTCTTTTGACTGACAGTTTGCTCAGAAACAATTTTTATATTAGTAAAACTGGGAGGACTGCTGACTACAATAAAATACACAAAGCAAAGTACTTCAAAGTAATTAAGAATCAACATGGAATATATGTCTTGACCAATACTACACTAACTCTTAGCAATGTGCTGTTGATACTGAAGTCAAATTGTACCTGTGGTGGCAAACCTACGACACATGTGATGCAGCAGGCTGTCTGCTTATCACCGAAAGCTCTAAAAGGTTGGCCATCACTAACCTATACTTTATTGTTCATGGTTTTCCTTCTTCACTTATCCTGAAATCACTTGCAGAGTACTGATTTCCCTGTGCGATGCTTGTCTAAGCATCAGTCATTTACCTGTGTCTTAAAGAAAGACTTGAGAGAATTTCTTTTGAAAATCTCAACCCAGAGTCACCCTACTATAAAAGCAGAAGACTAAGAGATGCTTTCCTATTTAAAGTATTGTTCATTCACTGATCCACATATATATGTTTGATTAACCACTTACTATATTCCAGGCACTAGGAAATAGTGAACAAAATGGTACCAAGTTCTTACCCTCAAACAACTTACTTTTCACTGAGGAAGACAGATCTTGTAGAATTTGTTTAATAAAGACATAATAAACAAACAGGTCAAAAAATAGCTGACAATGACTAAATACAATGAGAAAACCCTAAAGTCTGAGACAAGGAAAGCAATTTGTGACAGGAAAGAAAGGCAGCTTAGATAGAGAGGTCTGGTTCAGCTTGTGGGAAGAAATGACAGCATAATATCATTCCATGGAGAGTAAGTCAGCAGCTGTCACATTCAACCCGTAACTCACTAGCACACATAAATATTTGACTAAAAAAATCAGGGTATTAAGATTCACCTCTCTGTAAGCTAATGATATATAATAAGATTTTGATTTTTTTCTCTTTATAGCTACATTTATACAGTAAAATGTATAGCTTGTTTTACTTAAGGGTCAAAATTAAGCACAAATAGAGTAAGAAGTTCAATCAGAAACATTCCAGAAAAGCCTTTCTTTCTACTTGGTGACATCTACGTTTAACAAGGGTCTTTCCTGGTCAACCACAACACAGAAGCTGGATGGACGTTGCTGACCAAATGATCAAGAGCGGACACTGCCTCTGTCGCGAGACTGTGAGCTCCCACAGGGTATGGGCTACCTGTCTGTTCCTGTGTCTCTGGTGACCTGCAGCATGACTGGGATGCCAGCGAGCGAGTCTTCAGCGCAGTTCACCGAATGCCTGCTCTCCAGTAACTGGTATCTCTGATCCTACCCACCACACTCCCGAGCAGCCAAGCTCACAGCCACATCTGGCTTCCCTCACCTGTGCCGCGTGCACTTAAACCAGTTCAGGATGTCAGTGCAGCTGGTGTAGTAAACCTGATCAAAGGGGTGTGGATACGACTCCTGCACGGTCACCGAGTAGCTGGAGGGACAGAAAAAGAAGGCATCAGTGTGTCTCCTTTTGATATAATGATACAGGAAAGCAAAGATAAAGGAACCACATTTTTTTACATTAATGATAAAATCCCCACTAAAGAGCAAAGAAAGGCTAAATTATCCCTATTTGCAATTCCATATCAACTTTTCAGAGAATTCCCACATTTCTATAAGTTTTTATTTGAACCTGAACCTCAAAAGACCAATGCTAATGATATACTTAAAAGACAAAGGCTTATGTTCTGAACTTATTTTTTGATTAGTATATGTCTGTATACTATTACATTTCAAATGAAATTTAATAATTCAAAATGTTCATGAGAGCCAAGTGTGGTGGTGCATGACTGTAATCCCAGCACTTGGGAGGCTGAGATAAGAGGATTGCTGTGAGTTTGAGACCAGCCTGGGCTACAAAGTGAGTTCAAGGTGGGGTCAAGCATAGTAAAACCCTGTCTCAAAACAACAACAACAACAAAAACTGCTCATGATTAACCCTAAGATTTCCAAGGTTAAAGACATATAGCTGTATTTTTTGGTGTTTAATTCCTTCCCTTTGTCCTAGAGACCCAGGGAAAACAAAGATCTTCAGGAACGTTTGTACTCTAAGTCTGCACAGATATTAAGGTTAATTACCAAGCATTTATAATGGAGTACATTTTGCAAAGTCAGAAGGAACATATTTCTCTGATGGGAATTTGGACTAATTTGCTTTCATGTTCTGGTTCTGCTTCTCAGACAGCTGCAGGATATATACAACACAATAAAAACTGCAAAGAAGTCTTCAGATCGGTTCAAAACATGTGGCTGAGACAACTCCCATGAATAATCATACCAACAGCTTGTTGCTAGTTACACATTTTGTTTTCCCTCACATTTTCAATAACAGATTCTGCTTAGAGTAAAAACACACAACCCAATGGGCCCAAGAAGGTAAAATATCCATGAAATATAAAGAACATTCAATCCCATACTTCTTTCAATTTTTTCATTAGTACGTTTGTAATGCATAATGATTACGTTTATATGCCTCCTTTTTAAAAAAATATTTATCTCCCTATTTCCTATTATCCATTTTCTATTTTGCCCCGTATATTCTGAGTTTCTCATATAAGGGAAACCACGCAATATTTAAGTTTGTGTGTCTGACTCATTTCACTTGACATTATGGTCTCAAGATATTGGTACAACCTCCAAGATACTGTTACAACCTCCAAGATCTTAACGTTTGCCTGCAGGAAAATCTGGAGAATCTCTTTTGCTGAACAATTTATTCTGTTTGCTCTAAGTTTTTTAGAGATTTTCATTAAAATTTCTACTTTATATTAACAAAGAAAATGGGCCATAATCACTGACTCACTTGAAGCCAATCAACAGTTCAAGTTCATTAATAGGAGTTAGAAATTAGAAAAGTTATAGAAATAAAGAGACTGAAATTTTAGCATGAAGAATTCAGGTTAGACGAGGGCAGATCTGCTGATTTGCAAAGCCCTGTGATAGTGGCGTAAGGCTTTTTTCTGCAGCTGGTTTCTGGAAGGTATCATGCAGTAGGACTTCAAATCAGAGATACATTCACTAATCTTACTAATCACAAGTTTGTATATTCCATGCTTTGGTCTATTATAATTTGATTTCTAGGAATTCTCTTTAAATGGCAGACAGAAGAAGAAGATGCTTTAATAAAAAGATCACTGGACTAGAAGGAGATAAGGTTATACTCCTGATCTGACATGAGTAACTGAGTGACTGTCATCAGATAACCTCACCTCCCTGGGTTCTGGTAATCCCATCTTAAAACAGGTCAGAGACTGCTCATGACCCATTCACTCCTGGCACCCTATATTTCTAACATACATTTTAGATCAGTGTTTACACCCCAGCAGATGATACTTTTCTACTGCCAAACACAGAGTCAGATGAGAGTAGAGCGTAAAACCACCTATATATGTTCATACAGCTCCTTTGGGGTCAAGCCAGAGACCTCTGCTAAAATCTTAATGTTCTTGGAATCATTATACTATTTAAGTTTTCTTCTAATGGTGTCCCAAGGTTCAGGTTGGTACAAATGCTAAGACTTCCTTGCATGTGCCTTGGAGAGCAAAGTGACTGTTAACAAATAAACCTTGTTCAAGGCTATTTCTTGTGGGCTAGAAACTGATTTCATAGTGAAATAGGAAAAATCTTTATACTGATTTCTAGGCACCATGAAGATTCCTCAGATTAGAGGAGATGCTGCAGCCCATGAATTTCTTCTTGTTCATTTGTGGAACTGCACCAGTAACATATATTTACAGAATGCCTCTTTGGCTTGGGACATGAAAAAGCTCTTTTCCATAGAAGAGACATGATGGTATTTAGGATTCCAACTCCAAAAATATTTATTGAGCAACTTTCATGCATTTCTTGCCCTCAGGGAGCTTTTAATCTGAGAGAAATCCACATATAAATGCTAAATATAAACACCATGACTTTATAGAGAAATCCATCAATTGGGGAAAATAAGATGAGAAAATGTATTACATTTTAAGCATTTCTCCTCAATCATGACTCATTCTCATTAAAATTTCTTTCATACTAAAACCCAACCTAGCACTGAGTAAAGCTAAATTACTGTAAAGATTCATTCAAATACTGAGGCCTCCATTTCAGTCTGTGGAGAAGACTTTTCAAGCCAAAGTTCTTCTCTGTAGTTTTTATATACTTTTTTCCTTTTCTATTCAGCCACTCCCTCCCTTCCTCACTCTCCTTACCCTGGTTCCCACTCTATTTTGAAAAGTATTATAAATCATACTCGAAATTTTGGGAAACAAAATTTTTAAAAAGAATAAAATTCTATAACTTTTACCTAACCATCAAGAGGTTTTCTGTTTGTTTTTTGCTGTGTCCCCTTGTAGCCTTTAGGTGGTGTTTTATGCCTTTAGTTTGAAGACTCTGATAATTTTTTATATTGTAACCATGTTGTGAATATACTTTTGAAACTTTAAGCATTTTTCCATGTTAGTAAAGTCCTCACGTTATGACAGCCAAGTACTCTGTCAGCTACCATTAGACAACCAGGGTGTCCGTTTTGTTGAGGGGCCCACAGGGTTTGAAGGGAAATGTCTTCAAGTCTGGGCGGCCTCCTGGGACCCTCACCACTCTGCTGTGGCTAGTGCTTGCCTTGCTGGTTGAACTGAATTAGCTCCTCAGTGACCCGTCCAGCAGCTGCTCCTGAGCCTCCGTGTGGAAAGGCGCCTTCTCCACTGTCTGCTCCACTGTGGTTTTCTTGATAAGTGAGCAACACTAAGTTTCCAGTACCAGTGAGTCACCAGGACCCGCAGAAACCATCCTGTCCCTCGAATAACACGGAGAGCCTCTGCGGCAGGCAGGGAGCACCAAACTTCATTATAAAAGGAATTTGTTGGGGCTGGGGATTCAGCTCAGTGGTGCAGCACCTGCCTGGCAAAGATGAGGTCTTGGGTTTGATTACTGGTATTTCCTCCCCGCCCCAAAAAGGGGTGCTATTTTCAGTGCTAGGATACAAAACTCATTTTCTCTTGTTTCATTCTCTCAAACACACTGAAAATATATCATCATTGTGATTTTAACCTAGTAAGTGTTATCCAAGAGAAACCCCAGCAAGATTTAATTTAAGGTCAAAGAGCAGGGTAGGGAGGAGGGAAACCATCATGACTTGGCCATGTTCCAAAGTGGTTAATTACATTTTATCTGCCTAAATTATCTTGTTACTTTAATCAGATGTGATAAGAATCATCATTTCTAATCTCGGCTTGCTTCAGGACTGCTGATTCAATTACTACCATTTCTTTATTAGTAATTAAAGGTTTGGGTAAAGAGCAATTTCTTTTCTTTTGTGCCTTCTTAAGAAGAATCCCTACCAGGTGAAAAAGGGCAAACTCACAGAGAAAAGAGATGGGGCAGAAGAAACTCACAGAACTTTCCATTTCCAAAGGGTGCTGTGCAGAATTCCTTTAATCACGAATACTTCTTTTGTATTTGTAATGATTTAGCTTTCTTTCATTTCATTTTAGACATGACTTCTTAGAATTACAGTTGCTGCACTAAAACAAGACAACAGTTTTATATGGAAACTAAATATTCAGATACCCATGAGGATGCTGCACTGGTAGAAGTAATTTTGTTGGTGCTTGTCAAACCTGAATATTTATATTTACTGATTTATTTCTATTATTTTAATAAATATTTACTATGTACTTTTTAATGAAATGTCAAAGGGAAGTTTAGAAAGATAAACAGGCAGTTCCTCCCTTTAAATTCTATATAGTTACTACCACAAATATATATGAAATATATATATATATATATATATATATATATATATATGAAACCTTATTCACCTATTTTCATGATATATGTTAAAGTTTCACATTATGTATTATGGTTTAGATTTAAATGTCCCCCAAAAGTCTCATGTGTTCAGAAGAAGGACTTTTAGAAGGTGGTTAGATCATGAGGGTACTCCCTCCTCATGAGTTCATAGCTGAATGGGCCGCTAGGAGATGCGCCTAGTTGGAGGAAGGTTCCTGGGCATTGTTATTGTCTCTGGTGTCTCTCTCTCTCTCTCTCTCTCTCTCTCTCTCTCTCTCTTTTTCTCTCTCTCTCATTCTTCGTCTTCCTATCCTGCTTCCCAGCTGCCATGAGATGAGCAACTTTCTTATGCCATGCTCAGACAAAAGATCAAGGGAGCCCTCTGACCATGGACTAAAACCTCTCAAAGCATGAACTAAAATAAATCTTTCCTTCTTTAAAATGTGCATGTCAGATGTTTTGTTGACAGTGATGAAATGCTGATACAGAAAACTGGTACCTGAAGCTGCAATGGAGACCCCAGGATATGCCAGTGTTGAGGCATGTGTCCTGAAGAAAGCTACAGTACAGGCAGAACCAGCCCAAGAGAGAAGTCATGTGGCTGCAACCAGAAAGGCCATGGAGACAGGGGTGCCCAGGCTCTTGGGGCTCACGTAACACCATCATGTGCCCCACGTGCCAGATTGGGCGCTGTACATGCTAATGTCTGCCATGCTGCTTTTGGTCTTGATAAGGTCCAATTTTTTTCTATGCCCCCAATTTGTCCACTCTGGAATGGGAATGTTTACCCGTGCTGTTATTTCATTGATTTTTACAGGAGTGCAGAGCTAAGCATTTGCCTTGAGTCTCCAAGGAGACACTGAATTGGAATTTTTGAATAATGATCAAACTGTCAAGACATTGGCTACTCTCAGACACAGGCTGAATGCATTTTATATAATGTGACAAATATCGGTCTTTTGGGGGCCAGGAATAGCACATTATGGGTTAGCTCTAAAATGTCAATATGTAACAATCTAAAACTTCATTGATTGATTAGATAAATCTATTCTTGTTACCCTGATTGTAATACTCTTAATGAGATAAAGACAAGCTTTCATTAAAAACAAAATAATAATGCTATGAGAAAGGCATTACTGTGCCCCTTGAATAACACCACTGTTGCGCCACACTGCCTCTGGACTTTGTGCATAACAGTTATTATAATGTGCACTTTGTGATTTGCCAATCATGGTAGTGAGGATGACACGTACACATGACCAAGTTTTGTGTAATTGTACTTACGTGTATTAGACATGCATATTACCCTCTAGTATAAGATGTGATAAAAATATGGTGAATGTTTAATTTTCTTTTCTAATTATTACAGTGAAAGATGCTTTGTCTTAACCACTCTTAAAATATTCCCCTTCAATTTGAGCATTCTTATCCCATAAGCATTGCTACCTTCTGAAACAGGTCTGGAAGTGTCTTTGCATGAGCATCTTTAATTGCTTTGCTGTAGCTGCCTAGGTATCCTGAATCAATTCAAAACATTTACCCTCCATGGTATTTTGAGTATGGAGAAAAGCCAGAAATCACACAATTCTCAATTAAAGTAATAAAGTGAGTTAGGACCACACCACAATGTTTTTACATGCCTACTTTTCTGTGGGATAGCAACTGACTGCAATGTTCACTATATTTTTGATGCCACGCCATGAAGACACTCACGTGATATATCCTTCATATGACATATCTAACCGTATCCTTTTCCAGCACTATACTTGGGTCTGTTTTTGAGGGACACAGTCCTCATTGGTTCACATGGCACTGGTTTCAAGCTACCTTCCATTTCTAGAACCCCTTCCAACAACTGCTTCTTCTTGCATTCTTTAAGAACACCTCCAGGGAGGCGACCAACAGGGAGCACTGCCCATTCCTCCAAAAATAAGGTCTCCCCTTTTGAGCTACTTCTTACACATTGCTTCTATCCCACACATTTCAAAACTTTATTTTATTATGCCATGTTGCCTTCCACTGCTCTTTCCCCCAAAATAGATCTAGCTCTACAAAACTAATGCAAATAGATTCACAGCAGGAACCAGATCTTAGAGATTTCACTGTAATTTAACTATTAACCATTTTCCCTGGATGTTACAATTGCATCTGTCTTAGAATCAGATATATAGTTTTTGCACATAATATATATTCTATTATGTGAATAGTAGTTACTCAATTTATTAAAAATGCCTAATGATTTTTGCAGAAAATTTCATATCTTTTCAGATTCTAAGTTTATACATCAGATTGGTGATAATAATATATAAAAAAAAACTCATGGACAATTATTCCTCAAGCTGTTGTCAGAAGGATTACCTTTCCCAGTGGCTACACACATTAGGGTCTTCAAGATTCAGAGCCGATGCTGTCCCAGTCCAATGGAATAACAATAAACCGATAAAGCCCAGGTATGAGTTCAAAGATATAACCATTTTTTTTCCTGAAGGACAACCTAGAAGAAAAAAATTAAAGGTACATTAAAATCACTCAAACAGAATTCTTTTCAATAGTGCAGTCACTCAGCACCAATGGCCAGAAGAGTTAAAATAAGGATAATGAAACATATATTTAAATAGCTGGTCACCAGATTTCATAGTCCAGGGAAAAGGGGTGTTTCTTAAGTTGTGCAGGGCACCTACCATTCTGCAAATTGCTGAAATGTGCAAATCATCATTAATTACCACCACAACAAAAGCACTTCTCAACCATGCCAGTTGACATTAAAGGAATTCATCAGAACAACCAACATAGGCATCCAGATTATCTCACTAGGCACATTTCATTCTGGAAGAAGAGAGTCCACAGAGAAATCCAGCCTCATCTTCCCAGAAAATAAATGATGAGCCAGAATGTCCTCTGACTTTACAGATTGATACCTCAGGAAACAAACTGAAATTCATTCAATAGTTGTGGGTATACAACGTTCCCACCCGATTCTAGCCACGATGAAAAACCAGAATAAAATATAGAACTAGTCCCCTTCCCTGCCCATTAATCTGCCCACAGTTTAGTAATCATAACTTAAATTCAGCGTTTCAGTTTCTCCAACTGCTGAATAAAAACAAAAGCAACTATCTTATAGTGGTTCCTCAAAAAATATACACGTAGGAAAACGTGTGAAACTGAAGGGAAGATCAGGTACATTTAGGGAACTCAAACTAGTTTATGACAAGAGAGAAGAAAGCTGGAGAGAGAGACTGGGGCAGATCAGAGGGTTTATGAGCCACGAGAGTTTTGTAAGCCATTGTAAAGATCAGAAACTCCATCGAAGGGCAACAGAACACAGAGTGAAGATCACCGTGGCCGCTGAGGAGACTGTAATGAGACCAGGGAGAACAGGAGTAGGGTGAACTAGAAAGCAGCACTGGGTTGGTAGGAAGTAGACTGAATCTACAGGGAGCTTTTCTTCCAACAGGACTTGTCACCTGAGTGTAGAAACTGGGGGGAAGCAAGATTCCAGGTTAACTGGAATAAATGGGCTAAATGGTCAGTCTTTCAGTGAGATGGGAAGCACAGAAGTTCTGTGGATTGGGGAGGCTCTGAGTTCAGCTTTAGATATAAGGAGTGATCAAAGGATATGGTGAGTGTTAAATATTTTTTAAAAATTTATTACTGTAAAGACACTTTGTCAAGAATTAATGGGGATGCTCAAAGTGAGGGGGAGTATTTGGAAGATTGATAGCAATGCTTCTTTTTCTGTAAGTAAATTTTTTTAATTTAAGCAGTCATTTTTTTATAATCATGTATCATTGATAAAAAAAAAAAACTGATGGCAATTGCCATCAAATAAAAAATCACATTGTGTCCTTACACACCTTATTTACTAAGTCTGGCATCATCTGACTTCTCGCTGTTTCCAAAAGTCAAAACAACCTCAAAAGGTAAGCATTTTCAATCAATGCAGGCTGAAAGCAGTCACCAGCATAACTAAAGACACTGATGAAGCTCCCAGAACTACTTCAGAAAGTAGCAAGATAGTGAGACTAGAGCAGGTGACTAATGGCAATGTGTCTTATACCATAATAACTTTTAAAAATTTAGATATTACTTGTATTTTTAAATTACACTTCAGATGTCCGCTCTGAGGTTGCTATAGTGAAGCCATCTACAAACTTTCACTGAGTTCTTATCATATGCCAAGAATTGCATCAGGCAGGAGTGTGTAGCAGTTGAAATAGCATGGGAATGACACACACGGCTTCACCTCCTCGGTAAGAAACAAAAACTTAATTTGCTGTCCTATATCATCAAATCACTACACAAATGGACATGAAATTAGATCCATTTACTAATTACAAAGAAAATAAGCATTAACCTATTCTGAAACTAGCAATAACGGGCCATATTATTTGACCAAGAAAGTTATTTTCTGGGTGAAAATTGGCATTTACACTAATTTTCTACCCCGTGAGGTTATTAGTTTTTATTACTTGAGACTCAAACGTGTTGAATAATAGCTTTGTATTTTGACAAGATAAGAGTATCTTAAACAATAACAATAAAAGCAAATAGCCAACTTTAGGATACAGTTTGTCCCTCAATCTTTCAGGATTATGGATCGAGGAAATATCCAAAATCAAAATTACTTAAAAGGTCAAGTATTTTAAGTACATTATGAAAAACTATCTATCTCACACAGGTTAAAAGAAAAAGCAATAGAAAATGATTTGGAATAAAGAAAAAACATTATGAATTTGTAAGGTAATTAAAAGTGTAAATTAATAAGAGATTGTAAAATCTTTTTAAAAGTTACTTCAATAGTTACTAAGTAACTCTAATATATAAGCCATAAGTAGCCAAAATATGACTTGTGCATTAATTCAAAGTATTTATATTTCTCACAGGTTCATGACATGAAGTTGTAAAATCTGAAATTTACTACAACTAAAGAAGCTACTCTATTTAACATAAATTTAACATAAATAAAAAATGATGATATAATAATAATAATAATAATAATAGAAGTGGCAGCTATCATTTTCTGGCTAATACCAGATATGTTACTGAGACTTTTATGTGGATTATTTAATTCTCACAGCAACTTCCCCAAAAAGTAGGGATTTTTGTTGTCCCCATTTCACAGCTGAAGACATATTAAGATTCAGCTAGCATCTCTTCATTCATCAGAAGAAGAAAGCTTTAATATATGTGGTTGTAACAAGTAAGCAGAGCAAACATCTCTATCTCATAGCTTTTCTTTGTCAGAATAAATATTCCATTTCAGTGAAATGCAAAATATATGTATGAGCTTTCATTCTTTCCTCCAAAGCAAAATCAAGGCTAGGAAGCAGTAATCTGCCACCTACTCATAAACAATTACACTAAATTGGGGGTTTATTTCCTGAGTCACCATCTCAAATCAAACCATTCATTTACCAATTAGAAATGTTTAGTCTGTAAAGCTAGAAACTGCCAGAAGAGAATCAAGTTGCCAAGAAAAAGAAAGAAACTGTGCCTTCTCTTTTAATAAGTAAAAATCCTAACACTGATCTTTCCGTTTCTTTTCACGCTTTGCACCTGATGCATCCCCTGTGAATGGGGAGGGCAGGGAAAGGGCAGAATTTGGTCATCTCCCCACTGCTTTTAAAGTCAGTATTGAGAAACTGCAAACTGCACTACAAAGTTGCAGGGGCATTTGCAGTAAAGAAAGTATCAGCACACTAAAGTGTGTGTGTGTGTGTGTGTGTGTGTGTGTGTGTGTGTGTGTGTATTCATACAAAAATGCTTTGGTCTCCACCTCAAAGAATTTTACTAATTTTAAATTAGAAATTAACTGAATTCTGGAATGTTCTGTATTAGAGAATAAAATGACAAAAAGTGAAAAGAATTTCTTGATCAAAATGCAGGGATCATGCAAACTTACAAAAGCTGATTAAACCTGAGAAAGGAATATATATGTTATATATAGTGGAGAGGGAAGATACCTCACAACATGCTAATAAACTATAAATAACTGTAGCAATGATATATTTCATTATATTCAGACATGTGAATTGTCTCTTTGTTCTAGTTTATTTGATGAAGGCATTGTTATAGAATCCAAATAAGCAATTGATAGAACATAGCATGTAACCTTTCCATATTTTTTCTATATGTTTTGGGAAGTATATGTGGGTTCCCTTGATTCCTATCCTAAAGGAGAAAAGACCCAGTACATTTTTCTTACTTCTTTCCTATATGCTGTGCCATCCTATCCCATTATAACTTTACCCTCTGGAGTACAAATTAAAACAAAATACAATTGCTAAAAAATAGCATTATTTCAATTTAAAAAGGCAACACACTGCTAATTTATTTCATTAAAAATAGATAGCTTGAATATATTAAAACTCTAAATTGAGCATTAAGCTGTCCTCACCTACCCAGTCTTCATCTTCAAATAATGTTCCTTATGATTCCATTTAACAAAATTTTACATGTAAAAAAATAATTCATTTGCATGAACCCCCTAGTGCAAACTTGATTGCATCCCAGATCATTCACATAATTACCATGGAAAAATCAAAACAGAAAATCAGTCCCACTGATTAGCATTGCTAAAGAGCTCCTATTAGAAGGAGGAAACATGGCCTGCAGAGTTAACTCTTTCTGCCTTGCAGCCCCCTCAGAAAGCAGAGCTTGCTCACCCTACCACAGAAAGTTCTCATAAGTAATCAGGTTGATAAAACCCTTACAAGGGATGAGTCTGGGTTCTAATAGCAGATGGCTTCTTTATCCATGTGTTAAGGAGAAATAAATGATGGGGCACTGCGTTACTGATTTATTTTTGCAACCACAGAGGGATATATAATTCTAGACAATTGCTTTTGGTTCTAAAATCTATTACCTTTCTCGAATTATTAAGCAGGCACATAGAAATAACTTGGGTGCCTTCATCCAGTTTTTTCTCAAGCCTGTGGTCCTTCAAATTAAAACTGATGTTTTAATTAAGTGTAGTTACTTTTCCACAATCAATGTTCCTTCCAGGTATCAAGAGTCACCTATTTCACTTGTTCACTTGTTATAACTCCCCTACCTGCTAGGCATTAGATGTGCCAAGTTCATGTTCCCAAATATCAAAGAATGAATTCTAAGGAACACAGGTTAAGACCATGAAAGCTTTGCTGAGAAAGCTCATGAGAGACGGGGGGGGGGGGGGGTCCCAAAAGTGGGCTACCACTGAGGACCTCTGTCAGGGTAATTTATACAGCAAAGTCACAACAAGGGTACAACCCTGGGTACAACCATGGTCAAACTACAGATACAATCAACCTATACAATTATACAAGTATATAACCTACACAAGCTACACAAACATAGCTGCTTGGCTAATACTGACCCAATAGGGAAATAAGTTATGCAACAAGCCTACATGGAAAAAACACAAGACATGGGGTCAGATGTTCTGGTCACCCATCTGGGTGACTGATGCCTACCTGGACTTACTGGACCAGGTGGTGCTAATGACAATAT